TGAACGATGGTGCTATTAGCGCATTGAAATAGGCCACGCAATAGTAGTATCGATTGTCCGTGCCAAAATCGTAACAGATTTCAGAAATTGAATCAATTTTGATAAAAAGCGGCTCGATTTTTAATCTTTAAGATTGAGATTTCACTCTTCAAAGTTTACTCTAAAACTTTTAGAAAGAAAAAGGTTAATACTCAAAATAAGTAATTTTCAATAGTAATTGGCCAATATAAAAAATATAATAGTAGTATCGATTGTCCGTGCCAAAATCGTAACAGATTTCAGAAATTTAATCAATTTTGATAAAAAGCGGCTCAATTTTTAATCTTTAAGATTGAGATTTCACTCTTCTCAAAGTTTACTCTAAAACTTTCAGAAAGAAAAAGGTTAATACTCAAAATAAGTAATTTTCAATAGTAATTGGCCAATATAAAAAATTGAATTTCTATAAGGGATCCACCTACAAATTCTGATAAATAAATGTCGTGACAGTATTATTAATAACAGTAGGTAATCTTTTCGCGATTATAACAATGTGTATCATTTCGTCAGCTCGAATGGGTTTGCGACAAGACTTTCCTCGGTTCCGCGGCTCAGTCAGCCTTCTTCGTTGGCAGCATTATCGGTGGCTTGATATTCGGTTACATTGCTGATCATTACGGCAGAATCCCAGCGTTAGTGTCTTGCAACGCAGTAGGTTTCTTCGCCTCCATCGCGACGGCCTTCTGCAATAGTTTTTGGTCCTTTTGCGTCGCAAGGCTGATTGTCGGTGCATCGTTCGACAATTGCTTCAACGTACTCTTCATTATCGGTACGTATCGTCACGATCGAATGAAAAATTATGAAAAACTTAAATGAATTTTCTGTCCAAATCAAGCAGCTTATTAAGGAGATACGAATAGGTATTTTTATTATTGATAAATAGCTTTGATTAAAAATGATTTAAATTTCCGATTTGAATTCTGAAGTAGAATTTTCTATATATGGATGAAAATTATTATTGTGATACTTCAGTCATCATTATTAATGATAACTTTGATCGCAGTGATCGAGTATGTCGGTCCAAAGTATCGAACTCTGGTAGCAAACATGTCCTTTGGGATTTATTTTGCGGCCGCCGCTAGTCTCTTGCCATGGATTGCATATTGGATCGCAGATTGGAGAATTTTAAGCGTTGTCACCGCATTCCCGATGATCGTCGCTTTCCTCGGCCCGTGGCTTGTTCCAGAAAGTGCACGGTACTTGTCTATTCTTATTATCTTATATTGAATTTGTAATAAATTAAAAATATTAGACTCTCAATAAAAAACAATAGACCAAAACAGTCCAATGAAAGTATAAATGCAGGTCATAAGGCGCAAAAAAATACAATTTTGAAGTAATTATAATTATAAGATTAAGAATTTATATAATTACAAAATCACTGCATACAAATATTCGACTCACTTTGGAGTCGTCTTCAGCGAACATAGATCGAGTAATGGTTCACATCCCTCGCAGAGTAATTAAATAGCCAGTCACTCGTGGATTGCAAGATCCAAAGTGGAATCCATTAAAGTAATTGTCGAAATAACAATATCTATATAGCAATCAGAAAATACATGAGATTTATTTTTTAAAAGAAATTTGTAAGTAAGAGAGTGACTCGCCGCACTGCAACGAGGGACATATCGACAAAAAAAGAAAGAAAATATAAATAAAACACAGAACGTCTGCATGAATTTGTAATATAAGTTATCTTCTATGAAATAAAATTATTATTTATATGCTACAAAATGCATATATGTGTAGACGCTGATAGATACATAACAGTTTTGACTTATTCTGTTTCTTAGGTGGTACATCATGAGCGGTAACATTGACAAGGCGATCGGGATGTTAAAGAAATTCGCGAAGGTCAATGGTAAGGAAGTCAAGCAGGAGGTGTTCGAGGCATTTGAAAAAAGTTGCAAGAATATAATCGAGAAGGATCAATCGCACAATCAGTACACGGTCCTGCACCTCTTCAAGTTGCCCCGACTGGCTCGCATCACTGTCATGCTTGTTATTTACTGGTGAGTGTCGGAGAGATTAGATTCGATCTATTTACCCTCGTTTGAAACGACTATTGATCGAACAATCGTTTTCAGGCTGTTGATCATCCTGGTGTTCGACGGACACGTTTGGAACATGAAGCTGTTGCACCCCGATGTGTTCACGTCGTTCTCCATAGCCGCGATGACCGAGCTTCCGGCGGCGATTCTGCTGGCACTTTTCCTTGATAGATGGGGTAGACGATGGATGGGTTTCGCTTCTATGTTCATATGCGGCATATTCTCTTTGATCGCCATTGGCACTCCCGTCGGTAAGTTACATTATCACTCACGAATCTTACGATGTTAGATCAATTTATAGTTATAGTCTTGTCATCATCAGATTTATCCGTCTTCGTCAGAACAATACAGGAAAATTGTTTTAGATTGCAAACAGATATAAAAAATAAAACGAGAACACGCGAAAATATGAGATCTTTGACTTTGTCGGTCTGTGATTTAAGTTTCTTTGGATCGCAAACTAGCATGGATCAATAGCTTCTTATTTTTCCTTGGGAATTACAGCTGGCATCAGGTTCATATAGCGGCTAATATTAAGTAGAAACGATTTTAAATATACACGAATATAAAAGACATACGATAATAAACAAAATATTTTGATAAAGGGCCGAGAATAAAATTGTACAAATTTATAAAATGAAGGAGGATTGAGGCGGAATGACTGGTGAATGCGACTAGCAAATAGAGCTTGTAACGTGTTACATTTACATGATCCGCGGTGTTTCAGGTACACTAACCGTCACTATGGCGATTTTGGCGCGCCTCGGTGTCAATATCGCCGCGAATATCGGTTTCCAATACGCGGCCGAGATGTTGCCGACCGTAGTGCGGGCGCAAGGTGTGTCTCTAATTCACATTATTGGCTACATCGCTCACATCGTCGGACCTTATGTGATTTATCTGGTAAAGTATCACGAAAATCCGCGAGATCTTATATCTGTACACGATACCGTAATTAATGGAATCCAGTGGCCAGGTCGATTAATTAAGTTAATGATCATTATTTTTTTTAGGCTGATGTTAACCAAAATTTACCATTGATAGTTCTTGGTCTCTTATCATTTTTCGATGCGTTCTTAACGCTAGCGCTACCTGAAACCTTGGACCAGGATTTGCCCGAAACTCTGCAAGAGGGTAACGACTTTGGCATGGATCAAAGCTTTTGGTGGATTCCCTGCATATCCTCGTAAGTTATCCTCTCTCTCTTTCTCCCTTTCCTCCCTTCCTTCTTAAGTTTTATCTCTTTCGCGTTGGATTCAGATAAAAAGAAATATCGAGGTTCTTCGTATTTTTATCTTGTAATAATTTTGTTTTATCTCTTTACCTCCGAAATTGTTGCAGAACTCCGAAATTAAAGAAATCCTTGAGGAAGGAGAAAAAGAAGGAAGGCATGACGAACGCGGCTTTCCATCACGGCAGTATTCAAACTATCGACTGTACAAGATAAAAATATTCTTCGAGGTTCTTCGTATTTTTATCTTGTAATAGTTTTGTTTTATCTCTTTATCTTCGAAATTGTTGCAGAACTCCGAAATTAAAGAAATCCTTGAGGAAGGAGAAAAATAAGGAAGGCATGACGAACGCGGCTTTCCATCACGGCAGTATTCAAACTATCGACTGTACAAGATTATAACGACTGTTCATATGATAATTTAACAAATCTTTTTGTTGTAAATATCGCGATCAAGTCGTTTGCGTGTGTGATTTTATGTGTTAAACATATCACACGATGGACACGTCAAGTGCGGTAACGCTCAATGGTGGAGTGGAACACAAAAACTAAGTAAGAATGCGAAATACAATTGCATCCATGTATCCAATGAAGTGCACGCTTGGATGGACACGAACACGAACGTAAATGCGCAACTTCGAAGTCGATGTGACTGTCTCGAGAGTGCCAGATTGCTTTTCTGAATCGTTTCCTTGCGACGCGACTTTGACTTTCGACTCGTCGCTCTTTTCTGGGATGCATCAGTGTGTACAAAGCTATTTCATTAAGCGTAATTCTAGCGAGACTGAAGAGCGAACTAACTTCTCCGTATCACGAGGATCGAGATCGGTCTAATATCAACGAATCCAATTTTTTACGTTATACAAAGTAAAACCTAATGTGCCAAATGCCATGTTTTGTTTACTCGCGAGTAAACGTGAATATCGTGTACATGTAGATATTCATATACTCGTTTGCTACAAACTCACCGGAATTAAAAATTACAAAGGGTCCATTCCTTTGTTCCTTGTCTTTCTAAAGAACAATGTCTCGACGTCTTTGAGCTACGGTACATACAAGACAACTGATTTTCTGTATGTGAGATATAAATATAAGGGTTGCTTTGTTGTACACTCTTGGAAGAATACAATGGACTAGATAAATGAATAAATAAAAGGACTGTCTTCGCTTTTTTGATGTATCATCAAGAATTGTTGCGAAGTTACTAATGACGATAGCAAACGAATTAATTATGTATGTATGTAAGTAGATTTTAGATAATTTATAATGTATATACGGCACGACGTTCATCGCATAGACACATATTTTTCATCTTTCACTGCCTAATACGGAAATTATTTTGTAAATCGAAAGATGTTAATACCACTTCACTCATTGCCATCTAAAGGTGATCTAGTAACAGTAAAATAAAAGGACGAGTTATTTTGACTTCTTATAAAACTTTGTTATAATGCATTTACTTTCAAAAATAAATCCTCCCAAAAAATACTCCTCGACTGGAAGATCATTCCAATCTTATCTTTGAATTTTATTAATTTTATTAATAAATTTTATTAATCGTACAAATCTTAATTACTTATATTATTACGTACCGCGCAACGCGCAAGATTCTTTCTTTCTTTTAATTTATATTTTCTCGACGGTTATGCCGAGGTCTTATGTAACAAAAATTAAAAAGACTATAATTCGGTTGAATGATAATATCGTTGTCGATTCGAACGCGGTCGGGTAGCATCGCAGCAGGGTAGCGTCCAGAAGCTTTGTTCCTTGCCGAAGTCCTCTCCCTGACGTAGAGTCTGCGGGAGATCGCGACCGAGTGTTTCCGGTAGGAACAATATTAGGGCAGCGGCTGCAAATGACACGATGCTGATGATCATCATCGGCAGCCCGTACCAAATCTTGGCCTGAAACAATTTCAATTAATTGACTAAATACCGAGCGACGCGAATGGAACTTGTATTTTTGTCTTCAATGGAAGGTCAGTATTTCTATCAATATTTATTTTACATTGACGATATATGTACGATTTAAGCACAAATTAAATTGAAAATAAACGCGACATGATATGCGGTAGGATATTTAATATTCGCCCGTCAAAGTATAAATTGAATCAATTTTTTTAATCATTTCATCTCCTGCATTTTAATACAAATAATATAGTTATAAAAATTTATAATAGAATATATTTTTAATATAAAAAATTCCATAATTATATAATATGTAATAACCGTTTTCTAATAATACTATTAATTACATGAATATGCATATAATGGAACAGTTGTTGCGTCAGAATTCTATAACATGCTTTATTCATAACTGAAGAATACGAAAGCTGACTTACACTATCCACCACATATGGCGCAATGGAATGGGCAATAATGCCAAAAATGTGAATCAATGCAACACCTTGCGTCCTAATGGGAGTCGGCAGCAGCTCGGCGGCGTACTGAAGGCCCACATTGGCTGCCATATTCAGGCAAAATCGCGAGAGCACCGACATCGTCAGCTTCGCTGCGACTGAACAATAAAACGCATGAGATGAGAGATTGTGGCGCGATTGCGGACCGCTTGATTTTATTTGAAAGCCCGTGTGTATGTGCTCACTCGACTGTAACAGCAGTTCGGCGAAGCTGAAAAGGCAAGTCATGGCCAGGGTGATAAATCCGCAGAATCGGCGACCCCAGCGGTCCAATAGCAACGTCAGCAACAGCCCGGCCGGCAGTTCGGTCGAACAGGCGAGGGAGAAGGACACAAACACCGAACTCGGGATCAGCTTGAGGGAGTATACGTGGCCGTCGAAAGCTATCACCGTCAAGGACCTAGAAAGTACCAAAAGTACATCCGTAACTTCGTCGTCGTACGCGACGTATCTAATGCATTAAAGTGGAAAGTGGAATATAGCGTCCGCTCTTGAAGTAGCAATGCAGTATAAATTTAGCGGATGAGATCTGATACTCCTCGTCAAACTTTGAAACTACACGAAAGAACGATTTTTCTGAAGCATCTAAGAATTTAGGTGGATACGGATCCGAAAATAATTTTGTTGGACTATCAAAATAATCAAGTAGGACTCAAGCTGGTTGTTAGAATGTCAAAACTTTATACAGCATTGTTAATCATGCTTGAGTTTTCTACATCATTATTTTAATGATCGAACAAATTATTTTTAAATCTATATCTAGCTAAATTTTTACTTCGGTAAAACTTTTCCATGTATTTCCGAAAATAGAAACTGCGTTAAAATATATCTCCTCGCGAGAGATGAAGATATGATACCTTCAAAAATTAATATTCTGCGAAATCAAGAAAAATATATCAAATAAAGAAGAAAGTTAAGATATTTTTTTGCAATAAAGTTATTTACAGATTTCAAGATGTTTATCAGCATCAGATTATTAAGATCTTTCTAAGATGTCTATGAGTACCAATATATTATTAAATTGCCCGTCAATTTAATTTATGATATTACTGTACTTCAGTTCTGTTAGAATTATGTTTCAAGACAGAAAATTAAATTTGGCGTATAGTTTATTACACAAGATTAGATATGAATATATAAATTTACACCGAATTATTTAGGCATTAAAGATCTAGCTTATTTAACGCCTTTATTTCCTACTTGTTGTGTATTCATATTATGATAAAAAAATATTTTATTTAATAAAATTTATAAAGAAGAAGACAATGAAACGAAAAGGAGAAATGAAGTTGCATCTTACCAAAAGAAGATTAGTAGAATGGTATTCTTTGCTAGACGTGGTGATTTCAGAATATCGAAGATGGTCGCGCTTTCCCTCTGGGTATCAGTCGCGGTCAAGTTTCTCTGTAAATACGATAAGGTGGATGATGCGCGATTTGTGTCGCAGACTCACGTACCAGCTTTACGTCTCATTATCAATCTTACTTACGACGAAGACCTCGAAGATGCGCATGTCAGGGTACTTCTTGTTGATCTTCGCTATCCGCCGCAGCTTCTGCAGCATTTTATCTATTCTGCCGTTGGCGACGAACCATCTTAATAGCAAAACAGTGTTCTATATTTCAGCGGAAAGTTCGGAGAACGCAGAACGGATAACAGTGAAGCTAACAATGACGAACTTACAATTGCATGAATTTCTAAGAGCGATATGAATCTTTAGAAATTGCAGCGCTGCGTTTAAGGATAGTAAATCTCATTTTGATAAAATTTGATTTATAATTAAAATATATATAATTTGCAAAATTAATTGCTCTTTGATTACTGCGCCGCACTCGCGTTAGTTCCTTTATTCTCATTTAAACGTTTATTCGATTCCAATCGGAGAGATATGAAATCCTTTTCCGCAATGCTTTGATTACAAAGTTATATAAATAATTATTATATATTTATAATGGAAGTTGAATTTGTGTGAGATTTAAAAGGTTGAATGGAATAAACTGATTATTCGTATCATATTTATTTACCGAGCGCTTTCGGGAAGAATCCATGGCGTGATGAAGACGCTCATCATCGGGATTGCGCTAACATAGGCGAAGAATCTCCAATTCGCGACATAGTACGCAATCCATGGCAGAACTGTGCTTCCAGCGGCGAAGTATATGCCGAATGCAGCATTAACGACAAGGGTTCGCCTCTTCACGGCCATATACTCGAGCACTGGCGAGATTCAGGATTCGATTCATTAACCAAAATAAGATAAGTATCGGAATATTCAATTTAATAGATAGAAAAATAGCATGCGACCTCTTCTAACAGTCTTTCGGAATCGGCACTTAAAAAACTATATGTTTCTTGTATCTGGAGAAGAAACCATCACGTCTCTGCCAAAGAGACTAAAAATAAGAAAAAAAAAAGAAGAAGACGTGCAATTAATAGCTTACGCAAAACAACTAGCGATATAATTACGTAGAAAATGAGTTGCGCGCCGTAATATTTGCGCCCATAAATATTCATAAAACAGATCTAACACAATTACATCTTTCATCTCAGGCAATTTTTTTTGCAGTCTACACTTAATACCATTCATTATAATGTGAACTATATACGGACACGTGCGCACATTATTACCATAAAGACCCATAGTCCAGATTTATGTAAGACGTTTTTAAAAAATGAAAACTGCCGCGTATCTTTGCATGTAATTTTGAAGATATCAGAACAGAATTCTCTCTTATTCAGGTATAGTTTTTCTGATTAATTTGTGGTTTAGATTTAATTTCATTTAAATGATAACTTAAAAAAAATTGTGTTTTTCTACTAGCTACGATTAATCATTAATCTAATAGTATTGCAACGATAATTTTAAAACCATTATATAACAATTACTATTATAAAAAAGTTAATAATGCCCGACGTTTTGTACTCACTACAAAATTATCAGTTTAGTGATTAAACTATAACTAGAAAAATTTTGTTTACAATTTTTACATCATTATCAGATGAAGTCTAAACACAAGTTAATTAAAGAATGAAAAAGCGAGTCTTAAGGTGGGTTTAGACCTAGACAGAAAAGCAGAAAGCAGAAAAGCGGCAGTCAATTGAAGAACTCGCGCTGGTAGTCGCTGGTTTATCATCGTCGCGCAGCTGATTATTTCTTGTTGATCGCTCACCGATAATCAGTGGGATGTTGATGCAATTGTCGAAAGCCAGACCAGTGAGAAATCTACAAACTGCGAAGGACCAGAAAGTATTCGCGCTCGCAGTTGCGATCGAAGCCAGAAGTCCGATGCCGTTGCAGAGCATCAAAGCAGGGATCCGGCCTCTGTGATCGGCGACCCATCCGAAGAGCAAGCCACCAACGATGGAACCGCAGAAGAAGATCGACTGTGCCGTCGATATGAAGTATTCTTGGTCACATACCCAATCTAGCTAATCACAAAGGGTCCAGAATCAGTGCGTGAGAAATACAATGTGTACCATGTTTCTACATTTACGGGAGTTACGCAAAACGTTTATTTTTATCTTATTTAGTAAACAACTAAAAATAACATGACATTAATGGTTGCGTAGCAGAGTAAGCAGTTTTACAACTGTTATAAAATTCTTTAATATGATTAGTTTGAATTAGTTTTATATATTTAGATAGTGAGAAACTGGGCAAAACTAATCACATTAAAAAATCTTGTAACAGTTGTAAAGCTGCTTTATCTGCACCGACGCCCAATATAATTTTACAATGCATCTGTTACAATATGTATTATATTTCATTTATATTGCTGAGAGTGTAGTTATAACGCATTGATGTTATATTACTTTTAATGAGTGTTTACTGAGTTTTTACTATTCCTTCGTCTCTCATCGGGTTTTATTGTTTTGCAGTAGATAACGTAAATTGAAATTACGTAAGAAATGCAACGTTTGCTACATTTCTGCGTTTATGAGAGTTACTTAAGTTATGCAAAATTTATTTTTATCTTTTATTTCTTTGTCTCTCGTTGATTATTCACGTATTATCGTTCTGCAATGGATTACAATTGGAATTACGGGAAAGAACGTTTGTAATCTCAGTTAATCGCACAACAGTTTCACAAGAGTACTCGTGAATCTTGATTTTCTCTTCGTGTCTTCCACATATTTTATACATACAATGACGCACTCAAGGATACTTCACCTCAGCCGCTATGCTAGCATAAGGGATCTGCGTGAAATTGTATTCCCATTGGTTGCAATACACGGTTTTGTTTGCCTTCCATTCGATCGAGCGATTGTCTTTCCTATGATTTACAAGAGCGAAGAAATCCAAATCCCTTCGATGGCATTGGTCGTAGTACGGATAATTCTGTGACCTTGGTACGCCAATCTCCACTCTGAAAATATTGATTTCTAATGTACGAAATATATTTTTATAGATAAGAAGATAATGACATGCTTGCGAAGGGAAAAAGAAATTTTGAGGCTACTTATAAAACAATTTTGTTCCATAATCCAAAATTTTTTTATAAATTATAGATTTATACATTATTTATAATAATAATTATCAACACAGCATAATTACGTGTGTAATAATTTTTGTGATTGAAATCTATAATCAAATTGTCACAAACGATGAAAAGAATTGATGGTCAATAAAATCTTCGTTAACGAGCGAAAGTCTAGTGATCATTCGTAGTCAAAATATAAATTGAGGGTCTTATTGTCGTCAACGCATCAATTCAAATGAAATTCGATTGACCACAATAAGACACTCAGTATTAAGATCCCTTTTGTTCTAACACAACATTATAATTTATATTTTGACTACAGGCTTAAATAAATAGATTGCTGACTGAATGCGATAAAAAGAGATAAACCTGATTCCAAACTGTCCTTATTTAGTTTCCATATGCGTATGTATGCGTCCTGTCTGTGAGTATTGTGTGAATTTATCCATATAATTTATACATGTGTGAGTAAGAGAACTCAAATATGTCGCTGCCCAGTGTTGTCTTCAAAGATAGAGGCGAAGTTGGCAGTCTACTTAGAAGTCTGTGATTTTGATTGTGAATGATCACTAGACTTGTTAACGAAGATTTTGTTGACCATCGATTACCAATCAATGGACAAATCATATAATTGAGAACAGGGACTCGTCAATGGAAAAGTCGTAAAAATCTGTAAAAACCATTACACTTCTGCAACAATAGAAAAACGTTTCAAACACAAGAATCACCTTGTTTCATCGTTTTTTTGTGACGATTTTATTAAAGAATTCAATCACAAAAATCGTTACCACGCGTAACTATGTTGCGTTGGTAATTATAATTGTTGGTATTATTTAAATTTATTAAAGATTTTTTGACCTGCGAGTTCCGAAACGTACTTTGTTTAATTTAATAATAAATTTTAATTGACATAATCTGAAATATTGTAGCTCGATTACTGACCGTTAATTTAATTTATTTATTGCTTCCCCGGGAAAAAAATATTTTA